TGAAAAACAGGAAAAGTTTTGTTATTTGATTATTTAGTAAATAAGTTGTTGACAATCAAACAAGACTTATGAAAAAAGTGGATTCGAGAGCCAAAGGTCAATGTTATTGGAGAGAGCACCATTTTAACAGCTATAAACAGAAGAGTTAACAGCCCAACAAGGGCAAACTTTGAGCCCCTCGGCCGGCTGTCCGTTTGCCCTTACAGGCCATGCTGCCATGCTGAGGCATTGATTTTGAAAATGAAAAACATCCAGTAAAGTTCGAAACCAGAAAAAACAGGTGGCAAGGTTAATAAATAAAGATAAATTGTCAGATGGTGATAATAAATGATAATAAGTGATAAATAACAATAAAAACTGTTTATTGTAAAGGGTTATAAATAAGTTAAGGATGACAAGAGAGCAAATTGAGCAGACCTATGACAGCATCCTCGGCCACTGTAACGCGGACGATTTCCTGCTCAAAATATGGAGCATCAACGGAGCCATTTCCAATCTCAAATTCTATTAGCTTCTCTTCAGACTCGAAGGTGGATCGATTGATTTGATTGTAGTAGATCGATAACTGCTGGCCGGCAAGATCTCGTATCTTCCTTATCAAGTAGATTTCACCGGTAGACTGATCGAGTTCAAGGAGGTCCGTCTAGAATGAAAACATAAACCTTAATGGAAGGATTGTATTGAATAACTCGAAGAAGGAATGCCCTATTAAATAAACTTCCACCCTATAAACTTATTAAATAAAATAAACTATGAAATAAAATAAATTGCTCCTATGTAGAAGAAGCTACCTCATTTTTCAGAGTATAGAAGTAAGGTAGGTTACTCTTCGAATTAATTTTTGGAGCCAGGTTGGCGATTTTCGATCCAATCGGCAGTAGTGGAGACAGCTTGATGGGATCAGCCGGTGCCTGAAAAGTACCTCCATACAACGTCAACAAACGAATACAATTGCAAACTCGACCACAATTAGTTGACTTCTCAGGTAGCTTCCTATTGGGCCCAGTATTTACTTCACTGAAAGTGTTAATAGTGTCTATGTGGGTACGGAGTAAACATGTACTTCTCTCCTGCAAGAAAAACACGTCGCCCAGATCTCAATCGTTGAGGTCAAGCGTCAGAAGTTGGCATAGTCCACATGAACACGGTCATCGACCAATCAGAGCCTCCTAAGTTCTCCGCCGCTGCTATTGGTTGCCGGTCTGTACAGTACGATTCACTCCCACTGACGACTATGTACGATAGGGCCACCTACGTTTTATGTTTTGCATCGGGAAAAGACAGAAAAGTAAAGGGACGTCCTTTCAGGATAGCTCACTTAGCGGCACTCCGAATAGCTTCTTTTGGTTGCCGATGTGGGCGTCCCTCTCCTCATGAGATTGCAGAGCAACATTGTGACTATTCCCTTCGATCAAAATCTTCACTGGCACACCTCATTTCTAGCTTCAATTCGGTCCACTAGTAGTCCCGGTGTGTCATTAGGTTCATCACAACTACTCCAGCACGGTAACAGATAATAAGGGAAAATGGTCACGCAAAATAAAATTGCTTTCTGAGGAATGCCTTACAATTGCGTTCGATTCGAGTATACGTATGGAGACATGCTTCTGTCGTCCATCCTTGTCCGAGAGTATCAAAGATAATGGCCATGGTGGCGGTTGAGTTGGAGGAGAAACCATCGATAGCTTACCATCGGTGATTGCGAAATGATTCGACACGTCTAAAGATAGAAAAATCTCTTTTTTATTGTAATCTGGATGGTCTCATGAAATACCCTACCCTAACGTGGAGCTATCATACAGAAAATCCTACCGTTACTTTGAATCTGCCATTTTACAACGCCGGTAGCATTCAGCTGTCGAAGAGTGCAACCTGACGTTAAACACCCATCTGGGACACGGATATTTCTAAAATTTGTCACAATTTGTTACAACTCCCAGTTACATGGGCAAATCTCGAAGATTCAATGGGTATTACAGTTTGATCGACCAATAGGGGTGGTGTAAAGACGTGTGACGTACAGTCACATACATGGTCCGGAAATGAAATCTAGGATCCATACTTGTCCCACCCAGCCGAACCCTCTATTCCTTCGGGATCGAATAAATGGAAACGGAATCGTGTGGGTGGATAAAAAATTGATTTGTACATCAGGTCATTGTATGGCACCACGCAAATGATTATGAGGGCCCCATACGCATTTGAAGCGCCATTATAATTCCTAAAGGATGTCGAATGCCGTGGCGGATCGGAGAATCGAGAACCTCTCAAAGGCTTCGCTATCAACCTTAACTATCAGGGGTAGATTTACCCTCTAAGGAGCGATGTCAATCAGTTCGATCCCACGAGATCAGCTCCATCTGCCCACTTTTATCGCCCGTTTAAACGGAAGAACATAGCACTGTCTTCCTATCAAGACGGTAACTACTTAGTAAAGACATACATGCTTGCTCAACAGAGAGAAAAATACAATCTCCTTCCGGTTCTGCAAAGAAAGTTGGGCTATTTGATTACGTTCCCCGACAATTTGGTGTTAAAGCAGCTAAGAAAGAGCGAAAAGGCAGAAGACGTGGAACAACCTTTCGAACGGCTCGATGATCTTCACAGTTGACGTGCCTCGTCCAATTTTTATCTGCACATGACATACAGTGGATTTCCTTGGTACACCCTGATCCGAAGCTATAATCGACAGACGAACATCGGTAGGATCGGAGTCGGTAAGGGCGCGACGGAGGTGCACATCACCTGAGATCAATTTGTTCATCGAAGGCAACATCAAACTTAAGACGAAAATGAAATAAAACTGGTTAGAAATCAGTTGAAAATTTCTATTTTGCGAGATTTAGCTTCATGAATGCTCTCGCCCTCTGATTTGATGTACTACTTCATCACCCACAAAGAAGCTCCTCTACAAAATAAATACAGTAAGGTCTGCTGCACTTACCGTTGCTTTTGACGACGAATAGCGGATGAGACTGTTGACTACGGTAGACTACAGTACCGTTTGAACCATTGTCAGGATCGGATATCACAACTGTACCGACGGTAGTCAACGGCGGGGATTCGAACGGTACCAACATTGATGCCACAGAAGTGCACGACGGGGCGTTATCGTTGACATCAGCGATGTGAATATGAACGACGGTTGAGCTGGAGAGCGATGGCTAGAAAAAACCAATGATCAAAAACTATTCAGCAGTGGGTGGCGTAGTGGCTAGTAGGGGTTTTTATGTTCACATAGCAACTAGATTAATATCAGAGCCATTGCTTTAATATCAGAATGGTACGGCTAGACGACCTAAACAACCACAAGTTACAGGCAGGCGCTTGAAAGGGAGGAGGTGCCGCAAAACGAAATTGAATTCCACCCCAAAAAACCAGGGTGGCGCGCTTCGAGTTGAATTTTTTCGTGGAACAGCAGCCAGATTTTCGTAGAACTAGGGTAATGGTACATCTCGCCAATTCTCGTTGACTCCCGTATCCTTCCCATCATGGCGTACGTCTGCGCGCGATCGCGTGTGGCGAGCGAGACGCGAATTTCGGGGAGATTTACCCACACCTGTGGAATAGTAATACCTGCCCCCTCGGAAATTCAAAATAGACGGGCACCCTGCGAGTATTCCACTCTCCCTTGTTTGTTGGACATCTTCTCCACCCACTCGACAAGGATACATTCGAAAAATGACGATAGCACACTTCACAACCAATTATTCGCTCCATTTGCTTACCTCTCCTTGATCCTGAGCCGTCACGGTGATCGTGTATACACTTTGAGCTTCACGATCAATACTCTCGTTAGTATAGATGACACCGCTCTTTCCATCGATACCGAACGCCTAAAAATCGTATAATAAGGCAGTAGATAGTCAGGTGGATGAGTACTTGAAGAAAGCATTGGTACACTTCTTGAGAACTTTGGACTTTTGAGGGAAATTCATGTACCATGAAAAATCTGCTGATTTATTTCAAGAGCTATGTGAACACAATAAGGATCATCGTTGAAGCAGAAGGCGAAAACGGTCATCACGCAGGAACTCGCCCTACTGTGGGCGGATCACCTCCAATTGTATTGGATGGATCGGCTGAGGTAATTCCACCTTAATAAAGCTGGTAGTGCCGCCACAGCCAACCCCGTTCCCTCAGATTTCCGTCGTAATATTTAGTTTCGATCTTTCCATCACCACCTACCCACGAGAGTTAATAGATTTGTGGTTGTAGCTTTTTTGTTGACAGAGATAAAATAATATTTAAAAAAATAGAGGACGGCCACTGTAGCCGGGAAAAATTCCGGGAACTTACACTCGATCCGTTTGTAATCCTGTAGAGCACGTTCCCATTCTCTCTCGAGTCTGCATCTCTGGCTTTCACTTTCAGTACAGCTGTCATCAATGGCGAGTTTTCGGGAACCTTAAGCATACAGGTATGCGGTCGCAAAAGGCTTGGTTACTGTAAACTTTGCGAAACTGACTTGAACTTCATATGTAGAGTTCTCGAAGACCGGTGCATTGTCGTTGTAGTCGGAGACATGCAGAATAAGGGTCATGTTTGCGGAGCGCGGTGGAATCCCTTGGTCTTGGGCCTAAAAAAAGAAGGGCCTACCTTATGCAGCGTCTTCAATAAATGAATAAATAAATAAATAAAGGGCAGAAGCGAAATTGATAAACTTTAGAGCCATTTATTCGACTTGTACATTTACAAAAGCACCACTTTTCGAAGAGTTTTCATCTATCGAACGAATGACGTTGACTTAAGGGCAATCTGCTTTGAATAAGCTGGGATGAAGGACTTTTTGAAAAAGCATGGACTTGATCAGATTCAAGTAGAGTTTCCCCGCATCCCGTACCTGTATAAGATCCTATGACCCACACATGGCTTCCTCGTTGAACTCAGGAACCCCACATGGCATTCAATCCCTTCAAAACGATGGATGGACAGGTAATCACTAGTTGCTACTCAGTTACGGGTCTGCTATAGCCACAAAAATGCTCCTACAGTGAGTGGGTCATCTTAAAAAGGACTGGGTCAACATCGAACTACCGCTCATTTACATCCAGCTTTGAAAAATTCAAGTGCAGTACCTTGACTCGAATACGGTAATCCTTGATCTTCTCGAAGTCGAGTGGTTCAGTAAGTTGTAGTTGACCAGTTAATGGCTGGACCATTACCGGACATGGAGGATGAGATGACAGTATTGAGTAGACCACGGCACCATTCTGAAGAAATAAACCCGCAATTTCCTCAAATCAAAATAAAAGAGATGCTTGAGTGATCCTAAGGAATCCAGTTCAGAAGAAGATGGGATCATTAGGTATCGCTCTCATAGGACCTACGTCCTACCATTATATCCATGCCGCGAAGCGACCGCTCGCGGACAAGACCAACATTCTTAGTCCGGCACATTTGAAACTCCACTACTGTACCTTTTTCTTATCCTTATCCGTGGCGTAGACGATGTAGAATGGCTCGTGTGGCTTCTGATTCTCGCTGACCGTAATCTCCAACATATCCATTGGAAATTTTGGAGGGTTATCGTTGTGGTCTTCTATTAGAATTACCACCTGCGTATGGTTTGAACTACCGCCCATCAGCTCGGCCTGAAATTCATTTTGAATTATCTCTTGAATCATTGGCTGAATGGATCTTACCTTAACATTTAGTACCACACGATCGATTTTGTCAGCGTCCAGATATCTGGCTACCGTAATCCGACCCGTGTCCGGATGAATCATGAACTGATGATCCAAATCACCAGAGTAGATGCTAAATAAGAGGGGATCATCACAGCCTTTCTTTTTTCTTCAACTTCTTTATTTCAATTTCTCTCTTCGTCATATAAAACGCATACTTTTGGCTCGACGTGCAGCTGAATGAGTGAATCAATAAACAAACAAATAAATAAAAAACCATCAACGAAACAAGTAATCAATTAGATAAATAAATAAATGAGCTGATGAACTTTGTGAAAGCTCTGGAGGAGAGACGTTGCAGTCGCTGATTATGTGCAGTACAAGGAAACTGGAATCCAGGCAAAGAAATGGAGGAGTTCATGTGTAGAATTATCTTTAGGTCTGTTACAATCCAACCTTTTAAAAGATGGAGAAAAAAAGATTCAGCTCTCTAATCAAATATAGACTTTAAACGCTTAAAAACTTTGCGCTGACCACTTAATAAATCTAAGCGCACGGAAAAATAAGCAGCTAGGCTCAAACACTACCTTCGGCTATGGTAGGTAACTCCAGAGAACAAGTGTCTAACCTGTAGCGTATGATGCCAGGTCCGGTGGCCAGGACGGATCCGATTGAGATCCCTGGCAAAATGTCCTCCGGAGTTTTGATCAAATAGCTTGACTGCGTGAACGATGGGGCCATTGCATCCGAAGCTATCACATAGATATGAATGTGAGCCTGAAATAGGCTCCAAACATAGTGATTAATTCTTGAACCGAATTCTTATCAAATTAGGTTCAGGAGCTTCAGTGATCTAATTCCATGAAGACTTAAGTTTTTGTCAAAGTTAGATTATAGCTGTACATCGAATTTCCTAACATTAAATTTCATTGTAAATGACATTCTGTTAGAAACACTTTCCTGGAAGTGACTTCAGAGGAAATTGCATGCAAGTCTTGGTCGGCCATTCACGTCAAGATATATATTCAACTGAAAACCACCTACCGGCTCTTCACTCTCTGCTCCATTTCCGTCTTTCGCCTGCACCGTAATCTCGTGTTGACCTTGTGACAATGGCTTCTTCAAAAATATTTCCCCTGTCGTTTCATCCACCTTATACACAGATGGATTTCCAGATTTCAGGAAGAAGTGGACCTTCAAGAACAATCATTTGAACTCGACTTGTATTCAGAAACAAAGTAAGTGTAAGTTCAATGGGCGAGCAGACCCTTTGTACTTTTAGCATTTTTGATACTCTGAGAAATGTCTAAACTTTGAAGGAGGATGATCGCGAAAGATTTGAATCGAGTCCTAACTTCCATGCATCATGATAAGGGGATAGGAAGAAAAGAAGGTTTCCACGGTGATTACTGCTCAAGTCGATCTTTTCTACGGTCACTTTAGGAAACACACTCACCCTCGAGTTTGTTCGGAGATTTACGAATGGGATGGATGATGCCGAGTAGAGCGTCAATGGATCAAAAAGTTAAAAGAACAATTTGATTCTTCTCCAAGCTTAGCGCATACGGGATCATAGGGCGATGTAGAGGAGAAGGTGCGTTCAGACGAGCTTCCGGACCCTGCTTACCAGGATTGCAACTGCGCAAGAGAGTCGGTACAATACTATTAGATTTACTGCGTGTTCCATCGATAGGAGGTCCTGCACGCCTATGGGGTCATTGACAGCAGGCGTTTCAGACAAGCTTCAGGTCAGCCTTGCCCATGTTCTAGGTACGATTTTCGATGTTATCGCTTAGTTCAAGGTCACGGCTTAGCCCCTATCAGCATTCAACGAAACAAATTTCATTACTAGCTGGCCACTGAAGTTGGTGCGAATTTAAGAGGCGCTAGTCCCAATTGGGTCTCAGCCAAGAGTGGAGCAAGATGCTCGTGGTNCACCGGAGCACCTTACCCACACTGCACTACAGCAACTTACCTACACTTCCAACAAGGACTATTCCTTTAAATCAGTTTAAAAACTAAATTTGCTAGACCCAAGTTTCTGCTATACACTCTAGGTAGTTATGTGTTCGCATACCCAATCTTTCCTTACGTTCTCCAAATGGCCCGGAATTCAAAATTCCCGAAAAAAAATCGAAAATTCCAGAAAAATGCCGACAATTAAGATTATATTCATTCACGATACTTCATTAAACACATTTCAGGAATTCTTACCTCCCCGAAGATGCCGTCATCATCGTCAGTGGCCGACACGACCAGCAACGGATTGCCAGCAGCGCTTTGAAATCCTTCTCTGACGGTGACGTTGTAGTGAGTGGGATGGAAAACTGGCAGATTATCGTTGACGTCAAGCACTCGTACACTAACCAAACACGTTCCAGTTGAGCCATCTGAAATATCACTAATAGAAATAGAAATAAATCTTAGCAATCAGCTGATCTTTCTGGAATACGCCATGCACCTGAAGCGCTAGTCATATGGGCATGAACCAACATTTAGTGTTGATTGGAAACTTCTATTGATCCTTCATTGAGAAGCCATGTCCTACTAGGTAGTTTGCAAGTCATTGGTATTCCGCAAAGGTGACCAGGGAAGGAGCTCAGAAGACTTATCGCTTGAAGAGAAAGATCCCTATTTGACTTTCTCTAAAGCTCAGCAGTATCTTAATGCCATCCCAAGTAAGCTATACATCCTTGTACTGGTACACTATGAACAATGCGACTACGAGTGAGAGCATACCCCCGCATCGAACCTTCAAGACCGTGATTTTCAATCTGCAAATGCTCTGGGAGATAATTCTTTTGATAGTTGCTGATGAACCCCTTCCTCGTAGGTTTTTTCAAGCATGAGAAAACACCACGTTGTCCTCGTTGTCCCCACCGAATGCCCGAGTCTCTTAGCCAGAGCTTGGATTCTACGTAGTCCTCATAACTTCTTGCTCTTGGCTTGGATAGTTTTCGCGAAAGATCGACAAGGAACAACTTCCTTCTTATAATTTGAGCACTTTTTAGGATTCATCCCACGTACACAATGACGTTAGCTATCACAGGGTGGGAATAATGACGTTTGAATGAAGGAAAATTATCATTATTATCATAATCAGCCCAAATTATAAAGACAATCCATGACGTTATTACTTGAGTACGACCTCCTGTATTAATGCCTGTGAATAGGGATAAAAAGATGAAGCTTTTGGCGTCAATCAATCCCGTCAGAGGGATGCGCCCCCGCACTCGACTTCTATTCAGAATCGTAGTGGCGTATGAGTGCGTATGTGGCCTATACAATGAATTGGGGTGACCAGCCGATGTACAAGGCAGTGCTTTTTCCTCCCAGACGAGTCTGATACCAATTCAGCGACCCCGGAGGGATGGAAGCTTCGGTTGGCCTAGGCGGGTACCGATCCGGGATTCGAACTCCTGATCGTTCGTGTGAGATAGTGCGCCACTTGCCACTACACCTCCGCCACCCTTGTATATGTATAGGAATAAAAAAAATGATCCTTTGGCCTTTATTAATCCCAGGTTTGAAAATTTTTTTATTCTGTTGACGTAATTCCAAAAAGTTCTTCAGAAGGGCGGGAAAAATCGAAGAGGGAAGTTTCTGAATTGAATAATCCTTTCTTAGGTTGCGCCACGCACTTGACTCCACTCACGATTGGGTAGACACATGGAAGTGCTTTAGACGTGCAAAATGATTTACCAAGGCGCAGCTGATGAAAGAGCTTATGCTTTAATTCTATCAGGCAAATCATCTTCCAATTAATCGACCCGGAAGGAGTTGAAAGCTTGATTAGCCTGCTTCGCTATCTCCCAAGGATCTGATCTTCGACCCTACATTTGGCGTTGCCCCACTTCCATCCAATAGACTACATAGTAACTGAAAACAAGAATCAAAAATCATAAAGTAGCAATTCAATAAATAGGGCACACCCACTTTGATCTATGGCCGCTATGGTAAGTTGATGGTTGACATTTTTCTCATAGTCGAGCTTCTTCTCCAGACAAATCGTACCCGTCATTGATTCCACGTTGAAAATCTGAACAACACAGCATTACCGTAATCGGTACAGTAATCGTACCGTAATCCAGGCGTCTTTAACAAACCTTCGCTACCTCTCCAGCGTCTTGAGCAGCATAACGAAGACGGCTTGAACCACCACATAGACTATTCGTTGCCTTTACCTGGAAATAGCCCTGATTTCAATGTGCCCATGAGGCCTATGCCCTCATTCTTCTGAATGTTAATTACACGAGTCGAGTCACACCTTTAGCCACACCACAACAGCAGCGTGACTACAGCTCTTTATGCGTGCGAATTGCAATCACCGGCTTTGATTAGCGAAACGAACGTCGTCATGACAACGCATGTCGTCGAGCTCTCCTCAGTTTCAAAGCAACGTATGCACCACCACTCTACTGCGTACATTCGTATGATACGCAGCTATCTTCTGCCCTTTACTGACATTCCGAGGCATCAATTCGATTCTTCTACTATACCTCTATCCTTGTTCAGAAATTCAGCTGTATTGAGCAATTTGAGCTAAAAGTAACTCAGAATGAGTCTGAAGTGTTTCCCCTTGCTGTACGTCAATATGGCCGGTGAGATGATCTACATTCTCGAACAAAGAATAAAGGTAGGCGATCTTTCAAGGTTCTAAGACGGGTTACGGTGTGAAAGAAGTACAGTAATAGGGCCAAGTGAAACAAATAAACAAGGAGCATCTAAATAAGTGATTGATCCCTGATCTCTTTGCTCAAAGACATTGGGTAAGGTTCCAAGGGCCGGTGATCTATTCAAGAATAAGCCGTGCATCTGAACAAGTAGGCCGAGAATTTTTCGAAAATCGGTATAAGAGTAGAACCCAGAAGTTTAACTGAACCCGTAGGTGCTCAGGTGACACTGGGTCGCAGATACTTCTTCAGCTCCTCCTATTCAACTTGAAGGAACTTAAATTCCATAAAAAATTGACTTTACCTTTAAGCTGGTTCAGAAAAAGGCTCGTATGGAGTGGGGGGGGGGGGGGTAGGGGGATGGAGATGAAAGTAATTTTACTCAACGGATCAGGCACAACACCTTGCCATTGCTTTTACCAGTTCCAATCAAGAGCTACTTTTTTATTTTAGAATCAAAAAAATATCTCTGAAGAGAAAGGCGACCTAGTACTGCACGACATAATAAGCCAAACACTCAAGCAGAAATATTTGCACGAAATATTCAAGTGAGCCTTTACCCAACCCACCTATTTGACCCAACCCCTCACGGAAACCTATTGCTATACGGTATTCAGGCCACAACACATGTTTTCTCGAAGGCACATGCGAGCGATGTTTGAACGGCTAGCTCATTCGAGTATAATGCGACTCAGTGAGAGCAGGTGCCTGTCTTTTTAGGAAATTCCAAAATGGAAATACTAAAATGACGTCATCAATACCTATTTCAGCATGGAAAAGCTGTTTGATTTGACTCTTATGATGACAAAGTATCAAATCCACTCGGTTGTTATGCCTGAGCAGGTAAGTCCTCCTGATTTGCCTACAGAGTCCTTCTCCAGTCTTAATTTGAACGAAACCCCTTAATGTGGTTGGAGTGAGGGTCTTCCGAAACAATTGTAGTGCTCCCATTATCTCTTCTTTTTGAACCTTCCTTCTGAACCTTCGACAGAATTCCCAAAATACAGTAGCCATGTAGGGAATGGTTTCAGATCCTCACCGTCACTATGAACCATCTCAGTGGGATGAAACGAATCGCAAAGCAAGAAGAGGACATCCAAGAACTCATCCGGAACGCCCACGCAATGGTCGGTGAGATATTACCGGGATATTCCCGGAAAATTCTAATGCACTTTTGAATTAATTCCATCCCTCCTCTTTCTCTTGAATCCTCTTCTAGCTATTCTCGTCACTGACAGCTCTCGGACTTTCCAACCATACTACGCATTTGCACTTGTTTGGTTGATAACCCTGAACCCCTAACGTCCTGGTCCTGGTTGGCAATGAGCTAGCTAATTGTTCCAACGGCCAACATTAGCTGGTCTATTGCCAGCCTGTACCTCGACATCCTGGTCTTTGCCCTTTTCCTCCTTCACCGTCTCGTTCTAATTCTCTCCATCTTTTCTCATTCTCGCTCCTCGTACTCCAAAACGCTGAGATGTTACTTTCTGCAGAAAACTCTGCTCAAAAACAATTTCGAGGTTAAGAGAGAATAGCAGTGGTCATGTGTTAATCAAGTTTACTACAAAATCTTTTGGGAAAGTTCCAAGATAACAGTGAAGGCAGGTCTGGAGCTTGGAAGTCCAAACATAGGTCACAATTAGGAAGTTGAATCACCCATTGGTATGAAGGGGTTCCTGCCAGTCGCCCATTCATTACTGTGCCGAATTCAGTTAAGTGTACTGATATGAAAGCCAGTTTTGAAAAAATATTCAGTGCAGAACAGAGCTGAAAGTCTTTTTTTACAATGGTGACGAGAGGCCCTCCTTGGGCAGGACCCATGGAATCCCAAGAAATACTCGGCAGAATATAATCCTACCATTTGCTAAAAAACCCTGGTAAATAGTTTCTGATTATGAATGCCAGACAGGTCTTGGACATTTAGAAATGAAGTGTAATTACTGCTGTTTTATATAGGTTGAAAATCTCCGATATTCAATGAAAACGAAACCCTAAAATTTAGTTTCTCATGCTATACGGTCCAGTTCCAGTCACTGAATGGAATTTGATTCGGTATCAAATGCTGAATTTCTTCCAGGTCAGTTTCCTATTGAAGCTGCTAGTCTGAGCAAAATTAGTGGAACCCTAAAATACGTTACCTAACTGAAGGAAAAGTAGGTCGCTGAGTACAAAGTATAATAAAAGTAACCCATAGCTCCTGTTATCCTAGTTGGCAAGAGGCTAACTGTGGACTAGGCTCTTTCTTTGAACGTGACTATTCCTGGTTCACTGCGACTTATTGTTAGTTTAATCTTCTGACCCTCCATTTTGGCTCGATTCAAGGCGTAGTACTCTTTTCAAAGATAAAATACCTATTGCCGCTTATAATAGTACCGCAATGACTTTGCACTACAAATTACTGTTCGTGGATCGAATTCAAAACTTCCTAAGCACTTGACAGTTCAGGATTGTCGCGTAAAAGTTTCGGTGCTTCTGAGAGACGGCAAACAATTCGAAGATGGACATTTTGCGTACTTACCTCAGAAGTGAGTAAAATTTTGAGAATCATATTATTAGTGAAAGGAGGGTTATTCTGAAAATACAATAAGTGCCATACTTTCGGTCCAGTGGGAATCTTGAGTGGGAATTCGCCATCCTCAACTGGATTTTCCATCCTTTTGCACTCAAGCGGGTCGAGTAAAGTATTGAAAAGTGGACCTTACAACGAAACCCAAGTTCCATACCATTCAGGCCAACCGAACCTTCCATTACTCCGGCGTTAGTGAACTGACTCGTGTGGGAAGATAAAAGCACTGACTTGTACATATCTGGCCACATTAGTCATCGTGTAGGCTACCTATACATTCGAACCATTACAATTTGGAATGAAAGCGGGATTCCTGGGGGTATACCACGAGCGGAACTGACCAACGTCAGAGACTTCGTCCTTTAATTTCGGAGAGTGAAGAACTGCCGCTAACTGAACATAATCACCGAATCCTCCTTAATTTTATGAGAATAGCAATCTCCGCTAATTAGACGAGTTTCACCATCATGATATCATGAGTCTGGTCGATTCTGTAGTGTTGAACGCCTATGGAATGCATTGAGATGATGTGATAGATTTCCTACACGCCATGAATTTGACTTCGTCTGGGTTGTTTGCACTATTTTCGACAGAAGGAGTTGCTCTGAGGATATCCAAAAGAAAGAAATGGCTACCGTTGTGCAGGGTACGGAAATGGGACTCCACTCAGTTTTCACGCCACTTCTTCCCTTCAGATTCCTGAATCGCTATAGAAACTTCCACCACACTGTCGATTTTTAGCGACTCTATTGAACTTCCACCAGATGTCGAACCTCCTGGCACAACAAAATACTACGAAAATGGCGAATTTGTGAAGTCTACGCAATGGCCAGTGACGCGAAATTACGTACCACTGCAGAATGTGGTAGGTTTGTCTTCCGTTAAATGTTCTTTCTACTATTTTCCCAAAATCAAGCCAATCCGTATTCAACAGAGTCGGGTTTTGGATGCGCACTTCTTTATAGTGATAGTTGTTGTGAAATTATTGCTCCATAAGCACAAGTACGGGATCGAGACCCGTCCAAGACTGAAGTTTTGTCCATAAATCGCCGAGCTTGTGAGACTATTGCTCTCTATTCTCCAACTAATATTGAGGAATGGGGTCAACTGAGATTGTGCAAAGCCCTTTTGACAATTTGGTTCTTGAACCATATTTTTTAATAGCAGATCCACCCGCAATGGCTTCCATCTTGAGTTACACCTATTTATACGTAAGTAAACAAGTCGGAAAACTACTAGCTGTATCGAATGAATCGTTCATCTCATAGGACACAGATATCTGTGACTTTCTTAATTATGGATTGATCTATATAGTTGTAAACCCAAGGTGTGGTAGTGATAAAGTCATTCGAAAGGCCGAAAGTAAGAAGAAGAGGTGAATGTGTGAGATAAGAAAGGACCTGAAGGAAAGAAAAAGGGCAAATGGTAGGAGAAAAAAGGATCGATTCGATGAATTGCTGGGAAAAGAAAGCCACGATTTGGGAACACCAAGGAAAAAGATGCAATTGGGGGAGTTAAGAGTATCCAAATGCTACTCTGACCGTTCTCAATCCTTTACGTTTTCCCGCAGCATTTGGTGGTCACCGTCGCCAAATAATGTTTAAAAAACATATTTTGAAGATTTTTCAGAAGACTAAGTTTTGGTCAATTCCGAGAGATTCTGTTCATGGAGTCAATTTTAGACTTTGATATGGGCCATAATTACCCATGATTGTCTAGTCTTTCAAGTAGCCCCTTACAAAATGCGAAACATAGGCTGTGAGGGTAAAGTTCATTTCCTCCTTCAAAGTGGGAAGTTCCCTCGGAGGGGGAAGTTTCACAAAGTTTTGCTTCGGGTGTACATACTGTAGGTATGTACTCAATGCAAAAAGATTCATTCAGTATATACCTCCCAGGAAAGGGTGGTCTCTAGAGTTTAAACATAAGCTGTAGCATTACAGTACTTTAAGGTAACTCTTTCCTTTACTTTTTCCAAGATCCCAACTCTTTATGAATAATGTTCTCTTCCAGGAAAGCCGAAATCTTGATGCCGAAGTTCGTTCGACTACCCTTGGTACAAGCATTTTCCTTAATGAGATGAGCGTGAACGTGAGTTCAGAATATCCATTAGGCGACGGCTGACTGGATGGCTAGCCATATCATCATTGATACTATCGATAATGGGACGTTATACAATCGCATAATAGCGCTGGTCACTATGACAACGCTCAGAAGGCAACGCCAGTCAGCTTAACGTAGCTATCCGTGATAGAGAAACTCCATACATACAAGCACGAACGGATTAGCCGAGCCCATATCGGGGATTGCAACCGACGTAATAGGAAACACTGGGATCACCACGACGTCCTGGAGGCGGGGGACGGACATCAAACAACCCCCATGGCTCTAACTAATATCTTTCTGATCCTGAACTTTGTCGCCACCCACGTGGTTGTCCTCAAACGATGGATTAGGGGTCCATTATTTCCATGAAACACTTTAGGCTTTCGCTAATCGTTTCAAAGAAGGAAGTAATGATATACGTCTGATCCTTCTGAAGACAAAAACTTGAGCTTGATCATTGGTGTCTTACGGGATTGTCTGAGATTGGGATTTTCTGAAGTCTGCCCTTTCAGCGGAATCCGCCGCTGACGGGAACATCTCTTTTAGTTGATGCAAGTTTCTTAGAAGGACGAGAAAGTCCACAAGCCATATTCTAGATGGGACCGATGTTCAGACCGACGAAAGCCAAAGCCAGCATGGGCGACCTTTTCACCTGTATAGAAGCAACCGTGTAGTACTGTGACTGTATCTTTGCCGGCTTGCCAGCAATCAATGAGGCGATTTTTTCTTGTTTCCAGGCATGCTAGGGGCTCTAATTTTCTATTCAATGTTCATTTATGCACCTTGTTTGATGGGAAAAGGTGAATAAGAAAAAAAACTAGGAAAAAAGGGACTCCTTTGGAAGAAACACATCGTTTCATCGATTGCTGGCAGAACTCCAAAAATGGAGACGAGTACTTGTCAGCGCTACACGAGGTCACGGTGACCCAACTTCAGACAAACTTTTAGTTAACCATGTTTCTTCTTTCATGCGACGATGATAGAGCTCGCACTCAGTTGCCGTAGCCATCTGGCATTTTTCCGTCATTTTCAAACGCTTTCGAACCCCCATAATTTCAGATTAATGGCGGTGGTGGAACGGCAAAAGCGGAACCGGTCCAGTACGGTGACGAGATTAAGCTGCTCGAATCGTTGTTTGGTAGCTCACTCAAAACTGGTAAGTCATTGAAGGAGGAAGGATTTCACCCACAACAACCTTTCTCCGAGAAAACAGAATCATGGCGGAAGCAAAACACGCCACAATTTCGCAGTTTATTTACAATTTTGCTAAGGAGAAATAGCTTTATCAGCGTCTCCTAAGTAACCATTCACGGGTATGTAAACAACTACAATTCGTTTAAGGAACGATGGTTAAGGTTGAGATTCCTACTGTTAGGACTGCTATTTTGAATGAAGTATTCTAGAAGGTTTGTTGGGAAAGTGATAGCCTCCAGAGTGAGCCATGAACTCGCGCTTTCCTAATCTTCGTAGGCATGGCCAAGTACTTTTTTGCTCCATGCCCACCAGCTTTCACAATAACATTTGACTAGAGCCCAAAAGAATGTAAATTCTATGAGAAGCACCAGTTCTCGTCAATGGAACCTTATCCCTTTTTGGGGCTGTCATTCGCACAGCGATGGTCTGAGTCATTCTGGAACATCAGAAAGTCAGAAGTGCCCATCCATCTAGAAAGAATCTACTCGAAACCATCTGACCAAGACCATCTGATCTGAACATCTGACCCAAACTCAAAAAACTCCCAGTTGCCATTTTCCAATCTAGGAGGTTTTAGGAACCAGTTCAGTAGCGAACCCGTAGGCGTTTTGAAAGTTCCCTTCGGATCTAATAGGGAATTGCTGAAAAAGCAGGGTTCACGCTTGGAACCCAAATGGAGTGCTCTCAGAGAAGTTACAGTGCTGAAGACAGTCCTATGTTGAAGCTGAGCATAATACTGATTCAACGATTCGCGATTAGGTTAAAAACTGTATGTTTTAAATTAGAAGGTAGAAGATCATCCAGTAGAACATTTCTGGAGACAAGACCACTTCTGATCGCAAGTAGATTGATTTGAAAAAAAATAACTAGAAATTTTGCTTTATCCAAGGAAATAAATAGAAATTTTGCTTCATCCATTTTGCTAGGGGACCAGATGTTACGTAAGTACGCACGCCTGTACTGAGAGAATAACCCCATTGCTCTATTCTAAGAGTTAAGCTTAACTTGCCATCCACTTAATTTTTCCCTTCTGCAAAAAGCCGCTGGTTTCATTTTCTATCCGAAGTCCCAGTTGCACTTGATTACGCCACCGGGTTGAGTAAAGTTATGTGCTGGCAAGTAGGGCGCTGTTACACGCACAATCCGGGGATCAATATCTAGCCAACCAAGTATTCCAGCCCTACCGAGCTAACCGAATTTCCATCCTTGAACCAATTGATTGGTGCCAGATATGTGTGGGAAAACAACAGCACTGATTTGAGCATCGACTAGCCACTGAAGGTCATGGCATCAAGGCATCAAAGACTGAAAACAGGATACGCCAGAAAATCAGTAGAAATAAGATTAAACATCCCTTTTCAGAAGGTGAAGTGGATCTAAACATGTTTGATTCGACTACAGAAGAATCGAGTTATGTGAAAGAAACCGAAGAGGCTCTCAAAAATGTCCTGAAAATCGACGCATCGAAGGACAAAAAGTCTATATCGACTACAATATCCGAGGTAAGAATTCGACTCGACCTTCTCAAAAGACTCGATTGCCTTTTTCCCTCTTTGTGCCAAAAATCCCTGCTACTCATGTCGAATTAATTTTCAACGTTTTCAAGAGAACTCGATGATTCCCTCGGGAGCTTTTCAGGCGACAGATGAAAAATCGCCTTTCAGTGGGGGGCATTGTTCGTTGACCGACTACGTCTCTCTTTTGCGAAGCTTTTGGAGCTATGGCATGTCAAAAGAGGACGTGGGATCCTAGGACCGTATCTTGCCTCATGGAGTCAAAGGCCAAATTCAAAGCCACTACCCAACTCATTATAAATCTTCTCTTGCTAGAGGGAGAGGATCTGAGAAAGACCTGAGAAGTCGTTTGGGCTCGAACGGTTACCTTAGATGTCCTTACACAACTGCCTCTTTGGATTCCTGACCACAAGTGACTTAGTTTCTTGGTGTTCAGCCAAAATGACATGCTTTTCTCCATCCTAAACTAGTCCAGCTAAAAACTTCTGATTTTAGATGAATCTCGCATCATCGGAGGAAAAAAAGAAGAAGGGCAAAGGTGCCGATATGCTCGAAATGCTCGATGAGGCTGCTGCACGTCCAGCAACAGGAAAATCACGATCGCGTTCGAGGACACGAACTGAGCGAGGCGACTCCGCAGCCAAGCCACGTACTCCCAGTGGAAAGCGACCCACGTCGGTAAAGAAGACTTCTAACAATAAGTGAATCTGCCGGTGGGTGGAGAGCCAGATTAGGTTAGAGATAATGATAATTCATGGGTGCCATTGTTCCGGGAAGTTAAGTTTGTCGTATGGGAAGGTAGGGGGAAGGGGGGGGGGGGGGTATTACAGGACTGTTGGTAAAGGCTATTCTACATTCCAAGATAGAAACCGGTGAATGTAGATGGTGTCCGTAGTGTGCTCCCTACCCACTCTTTCCAAATTCAGCTATCCTGCTTGCCAGAGACATCTCTACCTTTCAAGATATGTATGGTTGATTGGTAAACGTATAAACAATAAAGAGCCACTTCGAACTTGCGCTAGAAAGTGGCACTGCTTGGAAGTTTAGTGATTGTTTTCTTGTTTCTTTTTGTTGTTTTGCTTTAATTGTAAACAGTTGTTGAACACTTGTCTTAGCTGTAAGTGAACATTTTCTATATTGCCTGGATTTGGCCAAAATATGTGGCCAACGGCCTGAAAATGGTCCTGTTGACGTGGTCTTACGTTTCCCTTTTCTATACAGCCAAATTCCATTTCGTTGTAATCTGTGCCTTTCTGACATCTTTGTTAGTCTCGTAAAATACTTCCGTTCATTAGATAGATATCGATCGCCTGTCGCTTTCTCTGTGATAAATCTACGCTTGCTTGAGTCTGTCCTTATGACCCCTGTAGGTCCACCGCTTCCGGACCAGTCAAGCAAATATCATCCCGATCCCTAGACGTGATGTACGCAAATACACACATGAGACCTGTCAGCTGTCTAGCTTGACGCAGTGACTGCCAGTGTAAATACAGTATGACAAGTACGGTAATGCCTCAAACCCATCACAATCAGTACCTTCAATAAACAGGTGCCAATCTCGCTATCCTCTGCAATTTGCACTTCGTAGAGCGACTTCTCGAACTGTGGTGGCCTACCGTAACCGTCGACCAGATCGGCTGTCACTTGAAGATCTGAAAAATCGCCTTTATTCGATAACAAAGTGGCGGAGTTACCGTAACAAGATTACCTGAGTATAAACTGGGTGAACCTCCGTCAGTGGCGCGAACTTTGAACCGAATTTCTGATCCAAGGGAACAATCAAGCTGTAAATTGAAGTTGAGCTGAATGATACGACCAGAACCATCCAATAGCTACGGACTAACCTCTCTCAAAGGACTTAAACGTCCAGTATCAGGGTCAATAGCCATAACATCCGAGTCGAGGATACTGTACCTCACGCGACCATTAGCACCCTGATCAGGATCGGTGGCAGTCAGTACGGTAGTCTGGTCTGATTCAGATACCGATCGATTCACGGTGATATGCATGTGACTTTGGGTCCAACTGGGCGAATTGTCGTTGATATCACCTGAATGGGAATAGTTGGAGAAAAGATAGGCAGAGCTATCAATTCTTAAGAACGAGGGAAGGTGGAAAATAAAGAAGGGACTGACTATATTACTATGAAGTAGTATTAAGTAAGGTAGGTGAAAAGACGGAAATGAAGATGTCTTCGAAGCTGGTAATAAGTGACATATCACAAGCAGAGGTCAGGCGATCAGAACAACCGATATCACAGCCCCAAAGTATATACCGCTCATTTTTCTTCTGCGTCAGCACGCTACGCATCCGCTC